CATGCCCCCCCCCGCCCACCCGCCCCTCTGCCTTTTTGTCATAATTGTATTGAAATGCAGCTCTTTTCATGGTAAACAATGTCAGGAAGGCATGCTAGATACACACACAGACACACACGCATGCCCAACATCAGACCCTGGAGACCTCGGGGAAATTGGACCGAGACAATACGTTGGTTGGAGTTTGTTTACCTCCCGTCGTCGTCCCCGCGCTCACACCGAGCCAGCTTGTGTCGTTTTGTGTGTCTGCACATGCATGCGTGGTTGTGCAAAGGGCATCCGCGTAGTCCAGAGGGCCTTTGGAAGGGCTTTGCGTGCATACCTGACAGCGCGCAGGGTGTGCATGTTTGCGTATGTGTCTTCTGTCCCTGTGAGTCTTGAATTATAATCCACCACCCGCCTGCTGTGCCAATCTCACGGCGCCAAACCTCCCCCCCCGGGGGGAGGTTTGGCGCCCGGCTTCGGGTGGTGCCACCATCGGGGATCTGCAGCGGTGCCAGAGTGGAATCTGAGTGGTCTCGGCGTTCACCTCCACCAGTCAGGCAGCGCTTCCCCAAACAAAAGATGCGTCTGTGTGCTGCCCGAATACCTCCGTCCGTCTCCCGTCCGTCTCCCGTCCTTTCGTTCCCTGCGCTCATGTTCTTCGAGGACGGGCCGAGTGCAATACTCGGATATACGTCCATTGTACTAATATTCCTTCTTGAGGCCGGGGTGGAGGTATTAGGCAGGAAGTCGAGGCCTACGTGTCAATAAGAACGTGGAGACCTCGGTCCTCAGGAAGTCCTCACAACAATATTTCTGTTATGCAACAGTAAAGGTGGCGCCACAGTGCGTCCTCCGCTATCCGATACCACTGGCAGCAGGAAGTGGTTTTTTAGGCTTTCAGAGTTCCGCCACAACCCGTTTTAAAATTAGCCCCTTTTTGGAAGCATTTTTGGGGTTTTTTGGGGTTTTTAACGCTTTCCATAAAAAAAAGGTTTTTTAATGGGGGTTTGGGGTTTTTTAAAGGGGCCTTCGGGGCCCTTTGGGCGTCAGGCACGGACGTAATGAGTAATGTAACGTAATGAGGGGGGCGGCGGCGGCGTGGGGGGGGGGGCCCTGATGGATCGGTGCTGCTGAAAAATACCGTTATAAATCATCACTCCATTTGACAAAAGCCCCCCCCCCCCGCATCAGCAGCTGATCAGTCAGCGTGTCCCTGCATTTTAATACGGACGATACCAGTAGTATGCCCCCCCCCCGCCCCCGCCGCCACCCCTCAGCCCAACTCAGGTCAAGGTCAAGACTGTGTCACGAGTGTTGCTCATCAATCACGGCGGTCAGTTTCGGCGGCCGTGTGTCCCTCATCCATCACGCTGATGGGTTCCGCTGGCCGTGTGGCTGCGTGTCGCCGTCGGGGGGGCCGGAGGTAATTAATAACCCCCCCGCCGATAGAGATAATGAGTTTAACCTGCTCCGCTCGGCTGCTGTTCTGGTGACAGATGCTAACGGTCAACGGCTAGTTATCAATGCTAACATGGTATTCTTTCTCTTTTATTATCTGTATCCGTTCATTGTTGGGTACATATATCAATGTCTAAAATATTAATTTAGGCCTTTGACTGGGGGGGTGGGGTGGGGGGGGGGTTTGAATAGGGATTCTGTGGCTCCTCAAGGCGCAGGAGAAGGAGAAGACTCCTTCCTGAAAGTCACCTGAAAGCGCGTCTCTGAGGAGGACGCCTGCTCTCCTGAAGAGCGCTCGCTGTCGAAAGAAGACCGAAAGAAGAGTGACCCGACTTTTCATCGCCCAAAGAAAACAAAGTGCCGGCTCGAAAAGAAGGGAAAACGGCGCAGCTTGAACCTAATTCTCGCTTTACTTTTTAGCGTAAGACGGTTGATTGTCCTGCCTGGGGAGGCCTACGTATTGTGCGCCGTGTGTGTCATATTCCTACAGCCTTTGTGGGCGTTTTTTTTTTTCGGGATGGCTATTGTAGCGCAGCTTCTGCTCTCAGGCGTGCTGGATGTTCTGTTAGGTGGCGGCCTTCATTGTATCACCAGCATTCGCCCAGCAGATCCTCCTCTCATTCATTTCCTGGTCGCTCTCCTCCCTCCTTGCGGCCCAGACGTGTTTCTTTTTAGAGACACCAGAGAGGGAGATAGAAAGCGGGGGGGGGGGGGGGGGACAAAAGGAAGAAAAGAAAAAGTGCTAAACCCAGAGGAGAGGATTGAATGGGTGAGAAGGGGTGCTGGGGGAGAAAAGGAGGGGAGGAATGCGACGTCTATGAGGGGGTTCAGGTTTTTTTTGCCTTTCCAGAGGAGAACAGTAAGTCACCGGCCTCTTTGTCTGCCTTTGATCCCTCGGCTCAGGGATTTGGCACCTGACAAACCCGTCTCTGTCTGAAAGGAGGCCTGCCGAGAGAGAGAGGGAGAGAGGGAGAGAGGGAGGGTGGGAGAAAGAAAAGAGAGTACAGGCGAGTTAGTGAGCGGCGAATGAAAAAGATGGTGTGGGCACATTGCGTTAGACATTTGAGAGCCATATGAGAGGATGCGATGAGAGCGTTCTCAGCTCACATCCCATAAAAAGAAAAGAACTAAATACGTGTGTGAGTTCCTGCGTCTGTGGGTCTGTCAGAACCGGCCCTGACGGTGATAAATCCAGCGGGTCTTCAGGGAGATTCCTCTCTGAAGCCACGGCCTCTTGGACCACCCACTACTGCGGTCTCCTCCCTCACACACACACACACACACACACACACACTCCTAATAGGAAGCAAATCCTGCAGCTTTCCCCCGATTTCCAACCTCTCTTTTCCCTCCGCCGCTTCTCTCTGCTGTAAACAAGGCCTCAAAACGTTGACATCGCGTTTTCAAACCATTTCTGTTTCAAAAAAGAAAAGAAAAAAACGCAGATGAAGATGATGAAGCGAGAGGGATTTGGAGTTCGCCAAACAGTCTTTGGCAGCCGGTGAGGGGAGGTGGGGGGGGGGGGTTGTGAGGTAATTCCGGGACAGCTTAATAAGGGGAAAACTCATCAAGCGTGCACAGTTTGAGGCGGGCGCTCTTCTTTAAAGAGGCTCAGGCCTGAAGGCTGTGAAGCATGGGACTCATTTAACTCTCCCTTCAGCGTTTTAGTGAGGGCGCACGGTCTCAGGCAGCTGCTCGACCCCCCGTGTCTCAACCACCCCCCCCCCCTGGACCCTTCTCCTGGTCAGCGCACATGTAGAAAAAAAACAACCCTAGCAAAAACGTTGTGTTTTGTCACCTGAAGCGGTCACAACCTCTTCGGAGAGATTGCTTTTAGAGACAGAGAGATGAGACAAAGTTCCTCCCGGCTAATCTCTCCCCCACCTTCTTCTCTCTCCTCTGCACAGCGCCGGAGGCTTCACGCTCCCCTGCGGGCTACAATCAAAGGGACCCTTAGCTTAGCGTTAGCAGGCGAAGCGGCAGGGATTTAGCACTGATTGACTGGGAGTGGGAGCGGGGCCAAGAATGGCACCGCGGGTGGCAGCTGGACTGGCTCGGATGAACCCCACGCCGCCCTAATCCAGCGGTTAGAGCGAGGGGGGTCAAAGAGCCGCCGAGACAGCGAGTTCCCGGCATTCTAACCCTTTCTGTTTCTGTACGTGCGAGCGCGTTGGCGGCATCGATGCAGCGTGTGTTTTTGTTGGAGGACGGACCTCCACCCGGATGTTTAGACATCGGCCTGATTTGTTTTTTCGCGCGGTGACCACATGTGGGAGTTGGTTTATGCGACTGTCCCTTTGTACGAAGGGTCCCCTGATCCACGCCTTCCACACGCAGACCGTTAGTGTGAAATCATCTGACATAAATGGGGTATTAAATTGCGTCCCCCCCCCCCCCGGCCCCCATGCCGTTTCGCCGCCCACTGCCAAGCTCATCGACTGACAGGTTGTTTTGCTCCAATCTGCGCCGCGCCTTCTGGAGAAATGCTCTTTTGTCCCGGTCCCCGGGTTCAGCGCTCGGAGGGCGAAACGCGACCCCGCGCGGCGTCGCCCCGACCGCCCGCGGAAACGTGACGAAAGGGGGAGAAACTCCTCGAAACACGAGCCCTCCAATCAAACTGTCACTCAGAAGAAAAGGCGGGCACTGTCGCCAAGAGTTGGAAAGTGTCGCTTGGGTTGCAGTTTGAGAGCGAGGCGTGTGTGTGCGTGAGGTGGGGCGGGGGGTCGGTCTCCGGCAAAAGAAACTCCGTGGGAGTGACGGAGCTCCTGTCGTGCCAAGTGTCTGTTAAATGGTCCGAAGCGCCGGCGCCTCTGGTTTCATCGCCGATCCAAGTCGCTGCCAATTGAGCAAAAGCTTAAATCTGTGAGAAAGACAACCGGTGGTTATTTGATCTTCTCTTTTTGCCAAAAGGAAATAGTGCCCTTCATTCCTCCTCCGCTGTTTTATTGATAATAGAACGCAGGTCCGTGAGAAAAGGGAGGGAGCGCTGGAGATGGAAAATGAGGACAAAGGGAGGAATCAGGCGGGAGAAGCAGAAGCCGCTGGGCAACGTGTTTCTTTCTTGTTGCTAACTGGTGGAAAATGGGCGAGATCTGAAAGCTCTCCTCTTCTCAACAATTTGATATCTACTGCAATCGAACGCCGTCTAGCAAATACTAGACGGCACCTCATCTAAACCTCTGGTGTGGTACGGATCATTTAAGGGGGATTATTTGTTTGAGAGCAATTTTGTTCTTCGCGAGTTCGCTAACTTGACTAAAACATGAAACGCTGCATTCAAGAAGGCTATTTGGACAGAAGTCCGTGCCTTGATTCTGGAGATGGAGACCAGTGGTTTCCTGCAGGGTGTGAATGTTAACGCTCGGCAGCACAGCTAGTTAGCGTTAGCTGTTGGTGGGAAGCGCCAACACAACCGAGGTTTATGTATAAAGTCCTTTCGCCGTGGTACTGTGTTCATCCCTTCCTTTCCACCAGCTTCCTCTCCAGACTGAAATATCTGAACATAAACGGCAAACTAACCCCCCTGCCCCCTGCTCTTTGTCCCCGTTATCTTCCAGCCTGCAAGATCGGTTACTTCCGCGCTCTGGCCACCGACGGCTCCTGCGCCAAGTGTCCGCTCCACAGCTACTCCGTCAGGGAGGGCTCCACCTCCTGCGTCTGCGACAAGGGGTACTTCCGCTCGGAAACCGACCCGGCCTCCATGCCCTGCACCCGTAAGTACCCCCCCCCACCACCCCCCCCACCTACGCGTGAGCCGATGCATGCGGGACTACAGTCATATTTCAGAAAGCCACAACGAGATCAGATGTTTGTCTCGAGCAGGCGACCGTAACTGTACAAGTATCACACACACACACACACACACACACACACACACACACACACACACACACACACACACACAGAGTGATTGCTTTTGCCTTAACATGGTTATGGATCCCCCCCCTCTCTCTCTATGTCAATGTCAACCAGAATTACCCTCTTCACACACGCAGCAACAGCCTTTCTGCACACGCATACGCACACACACACGCACACACACAGACACACACACACACACACACACACACACACACACACACTCTTAATAGGAAGCAAATCCTGCAGCTTTCCCCCGATTTCCAACCTCTCTTTTCCCTCCGCCGCTTCTCTCTGCTGTAAACAAGGCCTCAAAACGTTGACATCGCGTTTTCAAACCATTTCTGTTTCAAAAAAGAAAAGAAAAAAACGCAGATGAAGATGATGAAGCGAGAGGGATTTGGAGTTCCCCAACCAGTCTTTGGCAGCCGGTGAGGGGAGGTGGGGGGGGGGGGTTGTGAGGTAATTCCGGGACAGCTTAATAAGGGGAAAACTCATCAAGCGTGCACAGTTTGAGGCGGGCGCTCTTCTTTAAAGAGGCTCAGGCCTGAAGGCTGTGAAGCATGGGACTCAATTAACTCTCCCTTCAGCGTTTTAGTGAGGGCGCACGGT